CAGCTGTTCTCGGGGCTGGCAAGAAGCGATTGTGTGTGCCAAGGGCACATAGGCAGCTCTTCACCTTTAAGAGCTTGCTTCCTCTTTCACCATCCGCTTTCTCTGCCTCAGTCGCTGGTTGTTCCGCTTCCCACTTTCACGCTTTGCCTTGTGATTGTTAAGGACTTGCTCTTTCTCCTCTGGCCCCACAGGCAGCTTCTTGCTGATGCTGCATGCAGCTGGGGAACTCCACTCCAGAAGGTGCATTTGCACCCACTGTTTTGAAAACGCCCTGAGTGGGCATTGCAAAGGGGGTGAGCATCTGTACAGTGGAACCTCAGCTCATGCCCAAATCGGGTCGCAAACAGATATTTCATAAAAATTTAGATTCAGGTCGCAAACTACACCTTGGCTGGTGACTCCCCCGGCCCCCGAGTGGGGAGATGGCCGGAATCGGGCTGGGGAGATGGCCAAGATCACACCCGTCTTTCCTGCAGGAGCGCAGCCGCGATCTCGGCCCTCTCCCCACCCAGCACGATCGAGCTGTCTCTCCACCCTGAGTACGCCCGCGTTCGCACCCCTCTCCCCCCGCCCCCCCAGCGTGCCAGGATGACGGGTGCATGCCAGGATGATGGGCACAGTCGCGGTCATGCTGGCGGGGGCAGATGGCCGCGATCGTTGTTGTTCTGTGTCGCTTTGCTTCACCTTTTTCTGATTTTAAAAAAACAGTTACAGAAGGGATTAACCTTATTTACACTGAACCTTATAGGGAAATTTAACTTGGCTCATGACCAATTTGGGTCGCGACCAGAATCGTGGAGCGGATTAAATGCGTGAGCCAAGGTGCCACAGCATCAGTGGTGTGCACAGACCCCTTCCTGCCAGCCGATAATGTCAATAATGTCATTCCTCCGTGGCAAGCTTAGAAGCACCTTCTAATTGCGATCTATCCCAGTGTCGGCAGGTCGGCTGGGAATCTACCATCTCCCTGTCTTAACATGTGAAGTCCATAGCCAGTGGTAGCAGCGTGGAGGAAGTTTCCATGTGCAAAAGGCCAAGAAATTATGTGCACATGGCGCTGCTAATTAGGCAGCAACTGGCTTGCTTAATGAGCCAGGGCACAGACTGTGCCAAGAAAGTCATATGCTGGAAAGCAGCTGCAGCCCTTGTGAAATCTCTCCTCTTCTCTTCTCTGTGTTCTTGTTTTGCCTTTAATAGCAATTACCCTCCTGCAATTTGGGGCCCCTCTTGCAAAAGCCCCCCCCCCCACTGCGAAGGAATAATTTACTCCAGGGGAGGGTGAAGGAGAATTAGAGCTTTGCTGGAGGTTGTCACCCTTGGCTCTTGCTGGTTTCATTTCTGGAAAAGGTGACTAGAAAGATGTTGCTATCTTTGATCTCATTCTGTTGGTTGGCAGACCAGAGCACCAGAATACAGCTATTCAGAAAATCTTCTTTTTCCACCAGGTGGGGACAAAAGGGATGAAATACATTAATTGCATTTTGACTTTGAGTGATGGTTGATGTTCCTGGATACCTTGGCTTAATTTAGATGCCAGGAAGCACTTCCTGACAGTCAGGACCTCGAGGGTGTGGAATGGGCTTCCACAGGAGGAGGTGGAGGCCCCATCAGTGCAGGTGTTCAAGGATGGGCTGGATGTGCACATGGTGAGCATGTCGTGAGTGGAGCCGGCTGGAGCCGGGGGTCAGACTAGATGGCCCAGGAGACCCTTCTGACTCACTCTGTTTCTATGTTTAAGTGCGGTGACCCCTCATTTCTTTCTGCACACTCCAAAATGCAAGATGTAATTCTAAAGGAGTCTAAACATGTTGCTTTTCTTTTTTAATTTTCCCTGATCACTGGCATGCTTGGTGATTCCTTTATTTACCTCCAGTATCCCATCCTGCATCTTTTTCCTGCATACACCAAACTGCGGTGGCACTTGGCCAAAAAAGGAATAGCAAACTTGGCTGCTCCTGGTAAATTATATTGTCCATCTCTTGGACCGAGCATTAAAAAGCCTCCAGTTACTTTGCATTTGGGTACCTGACTCTTCTGACCTTCGGCCACACTGCTTCAGGTGGATGGGAGATGGCCCAAAACATTTAGTGGGCACCAGGTTGGGGAAAGCTGGAGAAAAGGGGGGGGCACAGTTGGATCTAATGAGGAAGGAGGCAAAGGTTCTGAACAGTCCCTGATGCTGTTAATGAGGGTTAATGCCTCCATCCGGCCTTGTCAATTACATAATCGGCCCTGCGGCATAGGATACATTAGCAGTGGATCCATCGCAAGTTCCATAAATACACTGGCTGACCCGGGGAACTGGGCTCAATACTTTCTCCAGTTCAAGCCCTTTGACTTCTATTCTCTTCACCACCTCTTACATATTTAGGAGCCATGCTTGCAGATGTGATGCCTCCAAGACGGACATGGAGGGGTCTCTCCTGCCTCTGGTCCCCCGGGGACCCACCCCCTTCAGCCCATAGCTGTGGTGACTAATTGCTCCTCAATGCAAAAGGTGTTGCAGCCTCTCCAGCAGATAGGACTGGTGCCAGTTCTTTTAACTGGTTTTGTTTATATCACTGCCAGCCAGCCTGGCTCATTTTGCTGTCCTCTTTGTATTTCTTTGTCTTATTTATGAGCTTTGTCTTTTTTGCTAGTTTTTTTTGGTGGGGGGGGTATGCTTTCCCTGGGAATTCTTGCAATAGGTCCTTGTCATCCAAGAGTTCAGATTTCTCCAAACAGGGAAAATGGATTTTGGTTGGGTTTAATGCACAGGTTCTCTACCTTTAATGTTGGTCTCTTATGCAGTCCTCTGCCTCTTGTGCTGGAGAACCCTGGACCTGTTGGATTTCACGGGAGGGGGTTGAGGCCCCGTCGGTGAGGGTGTCCAAGGATAGCCCGGACATGCACATGGTGGGCATGTCATGAGCGGAGCCGGCTGGAGCTTGGGGTCAGACTAGATAGCCCAGGAGGTCCCTTCTGACTCACTCTGTTTCCGTGTTTCTAAATAGGCCTCTGGCTGGCACAGTCCCATTTCCTCAAGGGCTGCAGCAATTTAAACAGCCGGAGGACAGAATCCGAGAGAAGGCGAAACGTTTAAAGGGGGGGAGTGAAGAAGGATGCAGTGTCAGTTTGGAAAGTGAGGTTGTGGTGTGGCAACTGTTTTGTGAACCTGTGGCCTTCTGGAAGTGGGTGGGCAACCGCTCTCATCATCCCCAGCCAGCATGGCCAGTGGCCAAGAGTGATGAGAGTGGTGCTCGCCAACATCCGGAGGGTCTTCGTGCTGGAGAGACTGCCAGAGCAAGATTAAAACTGGTGGGTGGAAATGGCGAGGAATGTGGCTAAAACTGGGGAGAAAGATCTCCAGGGCAAGATCTGTGGGACGGGGCTCTTTTTTCCTCTCTTCTAATCCTAGAACTTGGAGTCTGTTGAAAGAAATGGGTGTCTTCAAGCTGCAAGGCAGGGAAAAGAAAGAGTTCCTTTCAGAAGGGGTGGAGAATGTTTTCAAAGGGCCTGGGCTCACTCACGGAGACGAGGAACATCTAGATGGCCTGGGAGGTCCCTTCTGACTTGCTCTGTTTCTATGTACCTGTATGTCACCAACAGGTCCCCTCTGAGTTACCTCCTCTCCTTGCTGAAAAGACCCAGCTCCCTCAGTCTCTCCTCATGTGGCTTTCCTTGCAAACCAACCACCACCCTAGTGGCCCTTCATTGCACCGATTCCAACCTGGCTATATCCCTCTTGTAATGAGGGGCCCAGAAGTGAACACAATACTCCAGCTGTGGGCGCACCAGAGGCGTGTAGAGTGGCAGGAATACCTCCAGGTGAGCAATCATTTTGGCATCCCAAGGTTCCCCTTGCTGCTTCTCAGGGCCGTTTCCCCAGTTCGGGTTCTGCAGCAGCCTTTCTGCATGCAATCCCTCTTCAGAAAGGCCGAAATCCTTCCCTTCCCAGCCGACAGACAGACACTGCCGGCATTGCATTTCTGAAGTGGGGAATACTTTTAGAATCCAACAGCTTAAGAATCTCAGCATACTTCTTTGTAAAGACAAGTTTCTAGACCTCATAATTTTAATGATATGCTCAGAGGTGCTTGTGCAGTACTTGCCTTAACCAAAAGCAATTTCAGAATCAAGCAGGAGCTGATTCAGGGAGCAAAAGTGAATTTTGGTGCTTTTCCAGATTTGTTTATTAAAAGGGAAAATAACAAAATACATCAAGGGATGTTTTTGATGTTGGCTTAATTCATGAGTAACATGGTAGTCAAGGGTGCCTCTGTCATAGGGGCAGTAAATGTTGCATTAACACCCCTAGTGGTCAGCCTATACAAATATTTGGTGTGCCACAGCAAGGAGAAGATTGTTGACTTATTATTTATTATTTTGATTTATATCCTGCCTTTTTCCTACAAGGGGCTCAAGGCAGCTTACATCATTCTCCTCCTCCATCTTATCCCCACAACAACAACCCTGTGAGGTAGGCTGGGCTGAGAGTCTGTGGCTGGTCCAAAGTCACCCAGTTGGCTCCATGGCCAAGTGGGGACTCGAACCCAGATCGCCTGAGTCCCAGCCCCATGCTCTTAACCACCACACCACACTGGCTCTTCCATGCCACTAAATTACCCCCAGCCCATGTTCTGCCCTCTAGGTCTTTCTACGACTCCCATCAACCCTGGGCAGCAACAAGTGGGGAACTGTAGTCCAAATATCTCCAAGCGTACCAGGTTGGGGAACGGGGAAGGGACAGAAATAGCTTCTCTCTCTACAACCGTGTTTTTACGGAGAGGTGTTTCTGCAGGGACTGTTGCTTGTGAGTTTTTGGTGCCCTGAACAATGTGGGCCAAGCACATACGTGAGCAAAGCTCACCCACCCCCAAGGAAGTTCGCGGTGCGTCGCTCCTTCTCGCAGTGCGTTTCCGGCTTCTGCTTTTGCAAGCCGCCCAAGACGGGTTCCTGAACTCCTGACGGCGCAGCCAACCAAGGGTGTAGAAGCGTTTGAAGGATGCTGGTCTGGAAGACAGCTTCGTAGTGTTGCGGGAGGATCCTCCTGCAGTGGCAACTTTGGGGAACTGCGTGGTCCCCCGGGCGGCACAGGAAGTTTCTGCATGCAACATCTGTTTCATTTCTGCTTGGCCTCTCCCCTGCAAGTAAGTCACTCTGTCTGTCCTTCCGCTCTTTTATTGGTGTTGCTTATTCTGCTTTTTCTCCAAGGAGCAAACAGTGGCCTTCTCTTCCTCCTGCTGTAATATGGTATCTTCACAACAACCCTGTAAGGTAGGCTAGGGGAGGGTGAGAAGGACGGAAAGGGAGACTGGCCAGGGGACTCCATGGCTATCTTGGGGTTTGAAGCTTAGCTGGCCGCCTTCAACTTGGTGCCATCCAGCCGTTTTGGATTTCCCCACTCATCATCCCCAGCAAGCAGCTTGGTTAATGGGCAGGGATGTTGGGAGTTGTAGTTGGGACAGGATGCATTAGTCCGAAGCTCAGCTGGCTGCACCATGGTGGCTCTTCCCAATTTTTACTTTGGTGTCTGGTCGGAGGAGGGCCTCGGCTTTCGGGACATTTCTGCAGAGCTGACGCAGTTGTGGCTTTGCTGCGGTGCTTCTGCCGACACACAAAAAGGAAGCAGGGCTCTACAGAGGAAGGGAGAACAGTATGAATAATCAAGTATGTGCAATATTATTACGGTTATCGTTACATTTATTTATATTCTGCCTTTTTTCCTCGTGTGTGTACTCTGGGCCAGTCACTACCTCACATGGTTGTTGGGAAGATAGAATGGCGTTTTTAAATCTTCCCAACAACCCTGTGAGGTAGGTTGGGCCGAGCAACTGGCCCAAACTTATCCAGGGAGCTTCATGCCAAGTGGGGGCTAGAAGCTGGGTTCCGGCAAGAGCCGTCAAAAACAAACAAGCAAAAAGAGTTTGGATGGGCTGGTGAAGATGACAAACGACCGCGGAGAATTTTAATTCTTGCTTCATCTGTTCTGTGCACATTTCATTTTCTGGCCTGTCCAGCCTGAGCGGATTCATAACTGGTGGTAACAAAAATGGCACAGCCACAAAACTATATTCCGTTTATCAATGCACCTTTTATTCATTCAAGGGGAACACGTGATCAGGGGATCCGTCTGTACTTGACACGGCAGCAAATTGAGATTGCTCTCTCTCGGTGAGAGTGGGGACCACGTCCAGGCAAATGTCCCCAGATGGCTCACGGACCTACCGCATCCCTCGATTGCCTCTTGAATGCGTCCGTGTACTGCTCTGTCTGCGTATACTTCTAAGTGGCTGGACTCATTTTGAGCCCCAGACAGGTGGGGTGGGCAGACTCTGATCAGCAGCGTGGCAGCGGCAAAGGTCCCAGGCTGACTTCCAGTTGTGATCCGGCTTGCCACATTTATTTATTTTATTTATTTATTAAAACATTTCCATGCCAGGTGATTGTTTTTTAAAAAAATAAAGATCAGACACTCAGTGCCAGACATCTGACTAATGCCGCATCTAATTCGTTTCTTGGTCTATCTATGTAGGACTGCAAGGCTATGTTCCCTTTGGAGAAATGGTCAGATGGGGTTAGGTAGACAGATTCAGAAGATCAGTAGGATCCTTTGAACTGAGAGGTCCTTTCATGCCATCATAGAAACAGAGCGAGCCAGAAGGGGCCTCCTGGGCCATCTAGTCTGACCCCAGCACCAGCCGGCTCTGCTCACAACATGTCCACCATGGCTAGCCTATCCTTGAACACCCTCACTGATGGGGCCTCGACCATAGGGTCATATAAATGTTTTGCTAGCTAAATGTGGTTGCTTTCATTGTATGTGCTTACACCCAAGGGACTGCCTGCAAATTTCTTCTGATTATTGTTCGCTGTAGGTAAATTTGGAATCTTGCGGCTGCGATAGAATTCAATGGAGTTTACTTTGGAGTAAACGTATATTATAGGCTTGTACTCCTTATCACTTTCACATCACATGTTCCTGCTAAACAATCTATACCTCTTCTACTCTGCTTGGGAAGCTGTGTAATTATTAACTTGCAGTTGAATTTCAGTACTTCGGCAGCTGGGTTGCAGGCTGAGGAGGTGAACTCTGGTTTGGCCTGGTATTTGGTTCCTTGCTTTTGGGTTCAGGCTTTGAAAGGACTGCCTCACCTTGACAAGAAGTTGTGAACAGAGCAAGGAACTGCTAACAATGTTCATTTGCAACTGATCTCTTGCAAGGCTTATGTGGCCAGGTTCCACTGATGTTCGCAGGGGTGAATTCTTACTTGCACACTACTCTGATCTGGGTTTTGGGCTCAGGTCTTGCAAAGAGTATTTTGCGCTGTCTTATTAATTCCATCATTTTATCAGTGTCGCACTTTCTAAAATGGAACATACCGAACCCCAGAGTGGATGAGAAGATGTAGGTTAATGTTCAGTTGTAATTGATCCAAAGAAGGAAATTTGAATTTCCATTTCTTTTTTTCCTTTTGTGTCTCTTAGTCCCAGGCTCCCAATTAGACATCAGAGAGAATGTTCAGCTTTTGCTTTAGCATTTTCACCAGCTCCCTCTCTTGCTTTTAGGTTATTGTGTCGATCAGCATGCCTAGGCCCCGTAAGCCGCCCCAAGGCTTGTTGTAAGCCGCCCCGAGGCTTCGGCAAATGGGGCGGCATAAAAATGTTTTAGTAAATAATAAATAAATAGGCCTTCCTTGCAGGGATATTTTCCACCAAGCCATCCCTTAAACCAATGCCTGAATGTTCTTCCATCCTATCTAGTCCTAGCGGGCATTTCAAGTTCCCTGCATCAGGGAGACTTGTTGCTTCAAATGATAGTACATATCACGGTGGGCATCCGTTTCTACCTTTGGCTTCCCTGCCCTGGATGGCTGCTTCCTTCTTAAAACAGCGGGTGAACTCCTGTTTGCAGCCAGAGAGTGTTTGAGAGATCTTTTGGGTTTATTTGCGCTTGAGGACACCAAAAAGATCACAGAACTGGGTTGGACCAAGCGTACTGGAGTTTGCATACGGACTAGTGTCATGAGGAGGCCGAGCATGAGAAGGCACATCTTTTCCTTCCTGGCAGTGTTCACACTGTCTACTATCACCACTGCCAATTCACATTATCCTCCAGGATTCTGGAGACTTGACAGCAAAGATAACAGGACAATAGGGAAAAAATCAGGCTTTCTTTAATGCTTGTGTTGACCTATGTGAATCAGATACGGATTTCCAAACTGGATTCCTCAAGGTCTCTGAGGGTTGGGAGCCAGAATAATAGCGCTCCCCTTGACAGAACAGCATCTGTTCTCTGAAACACTGCCTCCCAAACTGCAGCTCTGGCCTTGCTTGGACTACAGCCCCCATCATCCCCAGCTTGCATGCTCGTCATTAAAACCTCCTGGAGGGAACCAGGTTGGAGAAAGCGGTCATCTTGCCTGAAGATACAGACATACACATTTCTAGGACTTTCCGAACGTGCGCCCCATGTCTTGATTTGATCAAAGTAATTATTTTGTGAGTGGTCGTTCTGAGTTTCTGAATTCTGCCACATCAGCGGCATGTTTCTACTGGTGCTGACGTTTTATTATTGAATTTGTTGATGTGTTGGGGTCTCTCTATTTTGTTGATAGTTTTCAACTGTGCAAACCGTCCAGGCAGGGGTCCCCAAACTTTTTCCACTGGGGGCCAGTTGAAAGGTGCTGGTGACGGGCGGGGGGGCGCGCACGGAGGCCCTTTTCTCCGCGCGAGTCCAAAACGATCTCCGCACGAGCAAGCTGCCCCCTCGCCTCGCGTGTGCGCGGTGAGTCCAAAACCTCTGTGGCGGGCTGGATCTGGCCCGTGGGCCATAGTTTCAGGACTCACGGTCCAGAGAGTCATGCAGCTACTGTGATGGTCTATAAACACGTAAATAACATGCATAAATAAAATGTGCTGTTCCCTTGCAAAGCTCCGGAATCCGTGCGGCGGGGGGGGGGGGCTCTCCCTGCTGGAGAAAATAGCATCTCTTGTGGCAGCTTCTCGGGGCCGAGGAGACACTGCCCCATTTTCCTCTGTCGCTCATAGAAGCCCCGGGAGATGGCACGGCCTGTGTGTCGCCAGCTGTACAGGGTGGGAGAAGAGCCGGGGGGGGGGGGGCAGAGAAGGGGGTGGGGTGATCTGCCGTGGGGGTGTCAGCCTGTGATTTTCGCTGCTGTGTGTTTCAATGGGCTGCCTTTCGCCATTTATTTTCCGAGATCTTGAGAGCGGTGCGTGGTTTTCTGCTGATGTTTGAACGATGGCTTCCATAGCTAGCAAGCAAGGCTAATAGTGAGGCATCATGGGAATTGTAGTCCAATTGCATTACTTTTAGTTGAGCGCCCTCTCGATTGGAGGAAGTCTGAGATTTCTCTTAGGGAAAGCAGTGGGCTAATGACATTTATAACAGGAGATGGGGAATAGAAGGAATAAGGTTATTCAAAACAGTGCCAGATTAGATATGGATGCATCTTCCCATTTGAGTTTCAATCTCCTCTCTTTCCAATTTTTTAATAACTTCATTTTCCCAGACAGTTGTGCTTAATGTACCTATTCCCTTTGCAATCCTAGGGATGCTCTTTTGTACATAATGTGCCTTTGTGCATTTCTGTGCCCATGCCTCACCCTCAGGCTCGTCTGCACGTGTGCTCTTGCCCTGCAGAACAATTTGGAAAAGCAGAAACACCAAAGCGGAGAGTAATTTTTTGGGTCTTGTCTAGCTTGAGGAAGTGCGAATTGAGGAAGCTGGCTTCAAAAGTGAAGCAAACGCATTTCTTCATTATATTTTTATACTGCCCCAGAGCCCACTGAGCCCACTGGGCTCTCTGGGTGGCTTTCAAATTTAAGAACAGATTGATTGATTGATTGATTGATTGATATCCTGCCTTTTTCCTACAAAGGGCTCAAGGCAGCTTACATCTCCTCCTGCATCTTATCCCCACAACAACAACCCTGTGAGGTGGGTTGGGCTGAGCGTCTGTGACTGGCCCAAAGTCACCCACTTGGCTCCATGGCTGAGCGGGGACTCGAAACCAGATCAGCTGAGTCCCAGTCCCATGCTCTTAACCACTACATCACACTGGCTCCCATAAAACAGTACAATAATCATAATCAGTTTCAAAATCCGACTCTCCAAAGAGCATCAAAATTCAGGGACAGTTAGCAGCTAATGTGGTCAATTTCTTATCCTCCTTTGTCCCAATTCTGTCTCCAGTCACAGTTCCTGTTTTTGGCCCTCTGCCTTTAGGGATGACAGGCTGTTGGAACATGTGTGCCGGCTCTTTGAGGCCTTGCAGTATCTTCTGAGAAATGTTTCCTCTGAATGGATCTTTGCCCTGAGAATCGCCCAAGCCAACTTTTCTGTTCTTCAGTCTCTCTCTCTCTCGCTTTTTTCTCAGCCTGGAGACAGAATGCAGGGAAGAAGGGATGCCGCCTAGGTCTGACCTACTTTCCCAAGGCACCAGCCGCCCGTTCTCCGAGCCCCCACAAACTTCCTTGCAGAAGCCGTGATGAAATGGCACGTGTAAGCCCATCCCCTCCTACCCTACATCTTGCCCTGGGAATTTCTTCTGCCGTGCCGCCCCCCATCCGCCTGCTTGTGGAGGATGTCGGACATGCCCGGATCAGCAGGCGATGGGTTTGAATGGTGGCGGCATTCCCGGCCGATGGAGGAGGCGGAAGAGAAAGACGAGCTAGAGGGATGCGTAGACGAGAATGGAGCACTCGGCATGACTGGTTTCACGGGGAACGTGGATCTGTGGAACCTCTCTTCCACCTCCCAGGAGAATCTGGAGGAAGCTGGACTCCTGGAAGAACTGGCGGACTACGAGAAGCTTCTGGCAGGAGATAAACCAGACTTCGACCTCGGTGAGATTCAAGATTTGGAATGCATGGGGGCAACTGGCACGGGGAGTCCCCGACCCGGTGAGTAGCACGGGGGGCAGGGAGAAGGTGCTTGAGGAGCCAGCCTCGTTTGGTTGAGTGGCAGTTATGCAATGAATGGGTGGGTAGGTGGGATTTCAGCCACAGTGCCTCCTAGGAGGAGCTAGGCACATCTGGAAGTCATCAAAAGCTGAGGAAAGCCAGTGCAGGGTCTAGCTTCCTGCAAAGTTCTGCTTTTGCTTATTTGCAACAAGAAAGCAAGTTTCTAGTCCCTAAGCTAAGAAGGTCTGCTCCAAGTACATGAGTCAGAGAGGCTCCCCCATGAGCAGCAAAACTAGAACGAGCCTTGTGGAAGGAGACCGACTTAGGCATATGTTCTCAACTTGCAGAATTGATGCAAATATTAGAAATTCAGCTGTGACATGGAATTTGGATTGCCTGGGATTGGGGAATGTACATGGGGTTCTCCTTCCCTCCCGTAATACTAGAACTTGGGATCAACCAATGGGAATGTGGCATTTGCTAGTAAGCGCAGTAAGGATTTGTAGTCACCCTCCTACCTCAGCTTCAAGCTTGCAGTCATTTGGAAGACAATAAATAGTGGTCAGGGAAGGACTAGAAGTAATTTTCTAGTTGGTGAAGGAGATATTTTATGTCAAAGGTGATTGTGCTTTTCATATTGGTACTATTAGACATTTATATTCTGTTTTGAACGCTGCTATCCTGAGACTTGCTTTGGACAGGATAAAAATGCTCCAAGCAAACAAATATTAAATGGGATGGCACTGCATTTTGTGCTTTTTGTCTGGGAATTAGGAAGCAAACATAGTCTCTTGAAACCTGTGAATTGCTTGGAGCTACCTCTGGGGTGGGCAACTTGGTGTTCTCCAGATGTTCTGAACGGCAGCGTCCGCCAAACTGAACCATCCTGCCAGTGGGCAGACTTTGGAAGGGGGAGGCAAACACTTCTGGAGGAAGCCAGGTTGCCCCTTGGGAGGGGTTGGGTAAACGCGGGTTGTGAATCAAGCAGGTTTGTCTAAGGAGGTAAGAAAGCTCATTTTTCTTCCTAGAGGATGATGGACGTCCAGAGGACCAAGGCACAGCTTCTTACTGGCACAGTCCGAGAGACCAGCAGCTGGTCCTCTCAGAAGATAACCTGCAGCAGGACGTCCCTGAGAAGCAGGAGGGCTCCTGGGATGTGAACAGTGAGGCGGAAGTTGACCCTGAGCTTTCCTATGAAGGCCTGTATGGTTCCGAGTTTAGTCCCAGCCCCGAGGCACTGAAAGATCCACTCGCTTTGTATCAGTGCAGCAAATCCTACAGTTTTACCTCCGAGGGTGGGGAGGAAGAGCTATCGGAGGACTCCAATCTCAGCCCATCTCCCTCCAGGCCTTCTCCGGAGTGCAGCCCCTTGAAAATAGACTCCTTCGACACGCAAAGCCCATGTGGCAACAGCCAGGAGCTTCCTGAGGAAACGGAGCGCACTTCCAGCTCCGAGAGAAGCCCAGGGAGTCCCAGGATCAGCTCTCCAGCAAGTTCCTCACCCTGGAGTCACAGCCCCATGGGCCACCTCTCCAAGGAAGACCTTCAAGATTCTCCCGGCATTGATGCGGAGACCTTCCCAGAACACACCTGGGTGGAGAGCCTGCGCCAGCCTGCAAGAGCTGTTCTCGAGAGGGGTGCTGGCTCCGCCCGGCCCTCCCAGAGCTCTCCTCCAGCTAAGCCCCAGAAGGGACTGCCGAATTCCAGCCAGGAAGCAGAGATGCCCAACCTGCCGAGGCAGCCGGGGAGGGCCCGAGCCCCGAAAGCCGGCGTGCCTCACGGGCTCCCGTCCAAGTTCAGCAGGCAGTCACGGTCCCTCAGCCCCCAGGTGAGGAGATCCTGGCAAAGGGCGGGGGGCACCAGTCCTCAGGAATCTGTCCAAGCGGGTCATTTGAGTCCAGCCACGGGTGACGCCTCCCAGTACGGCCGAAGACAGCTCAACTACCCGCTACCGGACCTCTCGAAAGTGGCACCTCGGGTCAAGTTCCCCAGGGACCCTCAAAGCTACCACCCACCGCGGGGACGGACACCCCCCTGCAGAACCAAGGATCCCAGCAAGCCCGTGGTCTTCAAGTCTCCGGCCGAGATCGTCCGGGAGGTGCTGATGAGCAGCGGGGAAGGCTCCCCGGTGAAAGCTGCAGCACCCGCCCTCTCCGTGATCCCCGAGGAGCTGAAATCCCCACGGCAGGCCACGGAGCTGGTGCATCAGCTGCAGGTGAGCTCTGCCGTGCGTGTCATGGACTCCCTGAAGCAGGGCGATGGCCCGATTCACCTGGGTGCAGCTCCCTCTTCCCTGCAAGCGGGGAAGGACGTTGGGAGTCCCATGAGAGCAGCGTTTGGGCGCTTTCTTGATTTAAAAGATTGATTGATTGATTGATTGATTGATTGATTGATTAAAAGCTTCTCTATCCCATCCCCTACAGAACATCTCTGGATGGCTCACGATAGATAAGTAGACTAAAACAAAAACCACACAGCATCTGGCCATTCATATACTAAAACCCCAGTTAAAATCAATTAAACATTAAAGTAATGGGGAAATAAAAAGGGTTTTGCCTGATGCAAAAAAGAATATAAAGTCAGTGCCAGGAGGACCTCTCTGGGGAGCGCGTTCTATAATTGGGGTGCCGCTGCAGAGAAGGCCCTCCTCCGGGTAGCCAGCCTCCTGATCTCTTTCAAGGAGGGCTCCCGGAGGAGGGCTTCTGCCTCAGATCTCAAGGGGTGGGAGGGCACAGAGAGGAGAAGGCGCTCCTTCGGGCATCCAGGACCCAAATTGTTTAGGGCTTTGTAGGTCATCATTAGCACCTTAAATTGGGTCCAGACGTCAGTTGGTAGCCAGTGTAACCAGTAAAATAGGCCGACTAGTACACCCGCAACTCTCATGTGGGGGAGAGGACGCTTTTCCCCAAGAGGCTAGTTCCCATGGTGCAGGGCTTTTTTATTGGTATGGAGGGATTCCCTGTCTTGTGAGACATCTGCCATCTGCAGTGCTAGAGGCATCGGTGTGGATTTGCCACCAGAATGAGATCTCCACCGGGAAAGGGAGCACAGGCCATCCAAGCGCCCTGGTTCTGCACCAACAAAAGGGGCCTCCATGGATTGAACAAATGATGCAGTTAGTGCCAGCGGGCTGCTATTTTGCATAATTGTGTTGCGCCACGAGAGCGGAGAGTGTGGCGTGGCAATCGAGCCTTGCCCTGCACGTCTTACATCTGCGTGAACTCTGCACATACACTTTCATGCAGCAAACCTCATCTGCTTCCAGATCTGTTTGCGATCATGAGGTCTAGCAGCTTGCTCTTCTTTTTAAAGCCAGAGAGAACAAAATGGAGAGGTTCTGTGGTTAGAATGCGCACAGGGATGCTTGAAGTCTTCCTCCACCATCCATCTGACTCCTAGGATTTCTTATTTTCATGTTAACCACGGATCACTGTGGGACCTTGAGATTTATCTTTTAAAAACAAATGCACTTGGAAGCTTTTAAGCATTTGGCAGTTTTCCAGTGACGGCTGGGGCTGGGCACTATGCTTGCCAGGACTTGCTTGGCATAGGAAAGCAGGACATGCCCAGCCCTCCAGAACTTCGTAACGGGGACCAAAGCGGGGTGTGTAAATGTGTTCGGGTTCGTAGTCTTGGAGGAAAGATCTCCATCAACAGCAGAGGGGACGTCATGCATGCAAGCATTATGCCCCTGAACCGCGGATGCTGGGAACAGATGCCAGGGAGAGCCGCTTCCCCGCGGCCCTGCCCATGGGCTTTCTGGCTGGCTGCCACGGAAAGCACAGCGGCAGATGAGCTGGTCTCCTCTGGAAGGACTGCCTGTGTTTGCATCACTGTTTTCCTGGCCTGGCCTAACAGGCATCTAACACGTGCCGTTGTTCTCTGTCCGGCTGCCTTTAGGAGGACTACCACAAGCTGCTGACGAAGTACGCCGAAGCGGAGAACACCATCGACCGGCTGCGTCTGGGCGCCAAGGTAGGAGGCCGGCGGGGGATGGAGGGTCTGCAGGCTGCCCGGCATTCCAGTGCCGGTCAGCTCTTGTCCTGCACGCCAGGCAGCCTCTGGGGGGTGGGGGGCACCATGGCTTGGTGATGGAGCCCGTGCAGAGAGCCACCCCCCCCCCCCCCCCCCCCCCCCCCCCCCCGCCAGACACAGAGTGGACCAGGGCTGAGCAGACTTCAGCCCTGATGGAATCCGGAGAGCTGGTAGCCAGAGCCACACACAAAAATTAGATGGGCCTAGACTGGATGCTGAGGAAGAGGGTGCCTCTGAGCATGTGCTGAAGCCCAGAGGGTTGCGATCGGTGCCAGAACCCAGTGCACAAGTTCCTGCAGAGAAACATCCATCCTGCCCCCTCTCTCAAGTTCTTTAATGGGGAAATGGGACCTGTGAACAGCTGCATGTCAGAAACCGCACATCTGCAGCACATTCCCCAGAGAGAAGAGAATATTAGGGGGTGGTCTACTAGGCCAAATCTCTGAGGAGGTCTGAAATGAAGGGCTTGTGTTCCGGGGGTGGGTAGATTTTGGATGACAGGAGGGAGGAACTGGATGAAAGGAAGCATTTAACAGACCCCCCATAGGCTAGAGGAGTGATAGGTCTCCTCTACAGAAGATGTCCAAGAGACACTGGCCAGTCCTCTGTCCAGGATAGCTGAGTTCTAGATTTCTGGCATGGGGGGGGGGGTGTTAGACCATTTAAATGTAACTTCTTTTATTCATACCCTGTTTTTTAAAAAACCAAATAATGGTGCTCAAGGCAGCTTACAGAACCTATTAAACCTGATCATAACAATACATAAAAATACAATAAAAATCTAGAAATTGCAAGGAAACATTAAAAACAGCACCCAGTCCACCAGATCCACTTGTAAATTAAATAATTCCGACTCCGCTTGCCAGTAGCACTAAGAAGCCTGTAACTCATTCACAAAAGGTTTTGCACGCTAAGATTCTGTTTGGAAGGGAGATGACTAAAATTGTTCACTTTTCTGTGTCCACACATGTACATACTTGAGTTTCAGATTCCTGTTTACCATCATGAGTCAGGAGGCCTTGGGGTTTGAACAGGAAATATGAGGGGTTGGGGAGAAGAGAGAACACGCACTTCAAAATTTCAACAGGTTCTTGTACTTCCTGGTGTGGAGGGGCCGCTTCTGCTAAAACCACATGGCAGCCAGAACGTGAGAGAGACCCCAGAAAAGAGGCCCTCGGGATGTAAGCAGAACCCTGCTTGTCGCTCCGAGCATCCGGCCTCCAGTCTCTGGGCTCGGCTTCTCGGAAGCCCAGAAGCGGAGAAGCCGGCTGGAAGGGTGCAAAAGCCACGGCACCCATTTTCATCTCGAGGGCCTGACCCAGCTTCACTTTAGGTTTGAGGATGCCTAGGAAGAAGTGAAGCCACGTGTCTGCAAGAGGGTGCAGAGTGATTGAATGCAGCCTCAAAATTGGGTAGCCAGATTGCAACAGACAGAAAATAGCTTAGGCTCCCCTTGATGCTATATTTGGCTATATTGGGTTCCTTGGTCCCCGGGATGCTCCATGGACCTTCCTGGGAAGCAACGCAGCAATGCTTCTTCCTGGACTAAGAACGCAAGGCCGCATCTCTTGGCGTGGATTTTATAAAGTCCCTTTTTCCTATTGTGGCAGAGTCTATCAGTATCTTTGCAACTGCTGAACACCCCTTTTGATGCAAAACATTTTTCCAAGTTGCACCTGCTTGTTTCAAAGTATCTCTTTTGACCTTGTGGCAAAAGGTTTTTACATAGTTTCACTTTTTAATTGTCAGCTGTCTCTGTGGTCCTTTCCAAGCCAAAACATAACTCCGAAATTTATAAATAAATACATTGCATTTTGGTTACAGTTCAGGGTGTTTTGCAAGTTGAACCTTAGTAAGCCGTGCTGAGCTTAGTGGTAGCTGTGCTAAGGTTACTGTCATGCACAGAAATGTGCATTTACGTGAGATTTATTTGTAAATACATCTATTTTACTTTATGAAGTAAACAAAATCATTTCGGTTACTTTATAGCATGCCAGCATTCCACTCTGTCAAGCAACTTCTGGAATTAGATTAGAGTAAAGGTACTTGACCCAGTATAGACCGTACTGAGAATGGATTTCCAGGTCTGAGTTTCACGGGCAGGGCGGGGGGGAAGCACAGATGGTGAGGATTACTAAAATCCAGCTTTAGCCACTACCAGCCAAAAATAAGTGAATGAAAATAAAGGGTAAGAGATTGGGGAGTGAAATTTGGGCTCAGTTCTTGCAACTGTTTATGAATGGATTCAGAGGCTGAGCGCAGCCACCTATTCTGAGCAATCTTGCCATTTCTCTTTTTCTTGAGCACCCATGATTACTCCCCCACGGAAGTGTTGGGATACTTTTCATAACTTCTTCCTCCAGGACTTGTTCTGTTCTTTGCAACTATTTCTGTGTGGGTTTCAGATCTGGAAAGATGGGGTGTTATTTGGAAATCACACTGTGAAAAGGTGGTGTAGGGCAGAATTGCAGAAAAGCCGCGGTTTCACTTTGTGGCTCCATCCATGTAGAAAGGCAGGGGAAAAAAGCCCAAATGACAAAAAAAAATGGAATAAAGGAACCAACCATCTTACTCCGGTAAAGAATCCGGAAGCAGAAGTCCCAGTAAAGTAGCTTTGTAGATAGAAGAGCTGCATTTGACTCCAGCTGGAAAATGTGGCGAGCTGCTGTATTCTAGATTGGACTGTTTTGTCCACCTTGTCCTACCTTGTCTGGCTGTTTTGGCTAGCAGTGGCTCTTCAGGGTCAAAGGTCAAGAGAAGGCTCTTTGCTATCCTCTGTTGCTGAATCATTTTTTAACTGCAGTTAGCTGGGATCAAACCAGACTTTCAGCAGGTGTTCTGCTTCTGGACTGTGGCTCCTCACCTGAAAGACACTTTGCACATGTTCAGAGGAACTGTATAGTTCATTAAGGTCTATTCATTAAGGGATCCATTCACTCAAGTCCCAGGGATGACAACTGATGTCTTTAATGATTGAAACCATGGATATGACTCTTACCCTTTTTAAAAAAGCATGAAGCTGTTCACAGCACTCTTTAAAGCAACCATCTGGGGGCTGATTTCTGCCTCCTGATTAATTTGGGGCAGGGGGCATCTCAGCCCCCTTTCCCTGCCATACCAGCCCCACCACGAGGCAGAGGGGGAACTGCCTCGGACTGGAGACCACCCCTCCATGTGCAGATCCTCCCATCATCCTGGAGCATCAGTTGAGATGGTTGCTGGCGGCTTGCTAGCTCTCACCCAGTTCCCTTCCCTCAGCGCATCAAAGAAGCCCCCGAGCGAGCGAGAAGGCAGCAATGCAGCTCGGTCTGAGCCGTGCGCCCCCTTGAGCCACTGCGCATGGAGATGCACTGCGCTCCTCGTGCTCCAGGGAGGGGGCTGGTGCCTGGCTTCAGTGGGAGAACTGGGAGCAATGGCGGAGACTGGTTCGGGGCAGGCCGAACTTGAGCAGGCCGACGGCAAGGGTCCCCACTGCAGCAGGGCCCCCCTGACAGGGCCCCCCAGGCCGCCGCTGCCACCTCCTCTTCGCCCTTGCATCCAGTTTGCTCCACATGCCCCTTGCACAGTGGAGGTGGTGAGGGGGAGGTGGTCCCCCTGCTGAGGAAGAGGAGGGGTGCCAAGCAGCCCTGCTGGGGAGAAGACAGGCCTCAGGGCAAATGTCTTGTCCCTGCTCTGCTCCGCTCAGAGCTGTCTGTGCCGCACAACTCGCCCTCCTCGCCTGCCACCCACAAGCTCACCTGGCGCATCCAGGGCCAGGGAAGGTCCTTCCCCATCGCCAGCATTCCAGTTCTTGGTCATCAACAGCCCTTTGCGTTCCTTCTGCCTCTCAGGTTCACCTGTATGTCGACCCTCCGAAGCCGAGCCAGGGGGCTCAGGTGGGGGCGATCTCTCAGCCTTCGAAGGTCATAACCTTCAGCATCCCTCAAGTCCGGGCAGCCGAGGTCACAGGAAGGCCTGGTCCAGCAACGGATTCAGGTAGATCCACCTCCTTCTTACCCTCTTGAGCAGAAACATCATTTCTGAGGGCTTTCCGTTAAGTTTTGAGCAAGCACTTTATTGGTCGGGTTTTGAATGTCAGCCACTAAAGCAGGGGGTCCTCAAACTCTTTAAACAGGGGGCCAGTTCACTGTCCCTAAGACTGTTGGGGGCCAGACTATAGTTTGAAAAAAATATGAATGAACTCCTACACACACTATACATTAAAATTAATTAAAATACATTTCAAAATTAATTAAAATTAATTTAAAAATTAAAAAAATATTTGCTCTGCTCCCTTGGGCTGCAGCAGAAGCCCAAGATGAGGTGGGGAAGAGCATGTCCATATTCAAGGGACAGAGCTACAACACAACCAAGGCACTAAATGTAGTATTTTGCATCATGCAGCTGATTACTGCAACTGGCATTTACAAAGAATGAAGCAAAAATGCTAAGGATAAATACTGTTAATGCCACTCTTAGTATTTGAAGCAAGTCAGTCCAGAACAATTCCCACAATACTCCATTTTTCTTACCTTCAATCGTTTTTAGTGTCTTCGTCCCTCTCTCTCTTCCTCCCTCCTCTTTCTGTTGCCCGCTCAGTATTCCCATCCTGTATATGCGTGCAATGGGGCGGGGGGCGGGGGGGAAGCCAGCGCACGCACAGTTGAAGAGAGCCATTACAATTTGGTGTGTGCGCCGGCTCTCTGCTCAGTTTGCGCCGGCTCAGAGCTTTCAGACTCGCTTGGAGATCATTTTCTCCGCGTGAATCCAAAAGCTCTGAGGCAGGCCGGGTAAATGACCACGGTGGGCCGTATCCAGCCTGCGGGCCGTAGTTTGAGGACCCATGTACAAAGTATCACCGCTCCCTCACCACCTAACTTGCAGCTATGCACCCCATAAAGTAGATTCAATTGATGTTGCAGAATCCTTTTGAAATAAAATAATCATGGAATCAGGTGCAAATCAAGGTGGAAAAGTTCAGCAGGAGAAAAGTGGCACAGTGGCAAGGACACAGAGGCAAAGCCCAACCTGGTAAAAGAAGCCATGCAAAACAGAGCAAAAGCAATGAGAAGCTGAAACTGGTCTGGAAGTAAAATATGGGATCGATAATGCCATCAACACTTAAGAGGGCTTTCCGTGAGGTCAAAGTTGTTGGGAGCTTTGAAATCACAAGATCCTCAGGACAACGCGTGGCTTTAAAGGAACTGCAAATCTTAATCTGTTTATATCCTGCCTTTTTTTCTTGCAAAGAACTCAAGGCAACTTGCATCATTCTCTTCTGCCTCTCCATCTTGTCCTCACAACAACAACCCTGTGAGGTAGGTTGGGCTGAGAGTCTGACTGGCCCAGAGCTCCTTGGTCTCCCTTTTGCTTGTACATCACCCAGTGTAGAGATCATTTGGCAACTAACAACTGCAGTCTGTGGGGAGAGGGTAGGAATACAGTATTCCACCATTCCAAATTTATTTATCATCATCATCGAATTGCATTCATATCCTGTTTTTCTTCCTCTTGCCGGAAAAGCAAAGCATCTCAAAAGGTCCTTCCCCTTTCCATTTTATTTTCACAACAACAACAACAACAACAACAACAACAACAACCACCAGTAAAAAATCACTGGTTTGCCACCAGTTTTAGCTGCAAATCATTAAGGAACCTAAAGCAGACAGATCTTGTTTATTTTTAGTACCTAGTCTCTGTCCTTTTCACAGCTGAAGCACAGACATGAAATACCTTGCAAGAGACCATTGCTTTTGAATATTCTCACCAGGGAAACCCGGTACCATCAGATACCTGGTACCTGCTGACTTTTCATTGCATAATAAAAACATGGCTGAAAACCAGTTAATGCATGCTTCTGTATTTAAAATAAAATTCCACAGTTCAATGTTTAAATCTCATATTCTTGAAGAAGCAAATCTAGTCATTACTATCTAGTCATTGTTTTATATTCTGAATGTATTATATTTTAATTTTATGTTGTGAGCCACCCCGAGGCTTCGGCGAATGGGGCGGCATAGAAATGTTTTAAATAAATAAATAAAACCCTGTAAGGTAGGCTAGTTTGAGAGGCAGAGCCCAAAATCACCCAGTGGCCTTCATGGCAGAGTGAGGAGTGCAACCCAGAAGTCCCAAATTCAACTCCAGAACTTTTAACCCTACAGAATCGATGTTCTGAGATCTTGTCAATTTGATAACAGTATGGTTTACCATGCAGTATAATTTTATTATTTATTTAAGACGTTTGTATGCCGTCCTTTGCGAGAGCCTCAGGACGGCTCACATGAATACAATTCCAAAATACATAGCAATACAATATTATAAATAACATAAAAACATTCCACAATATATCCTCTCTTAATTAATAAAATAAAAAGTAAAATGCAACTGTATACAAATTAGCAGTATTAATAAAATAGTATTAGTTGTTAAAATGGAGGCTAAATAAAAATGCTAATGTGTTTCCGAAATGCTTCAGTTTCAGGACTTTCTGGGCAGGAGACCGTGAAGACTTCCCTTCCCTCTTGTGCAGCCACCGCCAGTCCAGGGGCAGATGGTTCCAGCCCCACCAGAAAAGCTTCCTCGGGCGATGGTTCGATGCAGAACCTGGCTGCCCAAGCAAGGCAGCTCTGTGTTCAGGCAAGTTGGCGACTGGGACCCAGCCCCTGAAGAGGCACGGGAGGGGCAAACTCACTGACTTCCCCCTAAATCAAGTTTGGGAGATTTCCATATAGGATGTGAGCATCCCACAGAGCTTTTCCCACAATAAAACTAAAACTGTGGCCTTCTCTTTTGGAAGGTGCGGGGTAGGAATGTATGAGAAATGAGTTTCGGTTCGGTTTTGATCACGATTCACCTTCTAGATCGAACACCGACTCCGACAAAAGCTGCATTTAAAATCCGTTCGTTTCTGACCTCCCAGCATGATTCGTCCCCACTCCAAAAGGAAAATATAAAATGTCCATGCATTTGAAGAATGAGCACTTCCCCAGTTCACAGAGGAGTTGTGATCAGTGGGAAAAGAATGCCTGCATTTGAAAGCTGTGCAGAATTCATGTGTAGATGTAGAACAATGCACGCTAAAGTACGCGTGGTTTTTTGTGAGAAAAGAAGCAAAGTTCACAAATCAGAGATAACTTTGAGATGGACTTTGGAGAGGTTCAAAAGCTTTGGTCCTTCTGATTCGCCCATCGCTAATGCTGGGACAGGATCAAAACTGAGCTCCTTTTCCTTCCATGCAGTCTCTCTGCTCATGCCAATGATCTTGTCCTTTGTGCCCTTGCACCCTTTCAAGACCTCCACTGGTGATGCATCTCCTCCTAAAAATCAGCCCCTGCTTTGGACACCAATGCCAAACTCACAAACCAGGCGCGCTTGGTTTAATCAGAGTAACAATGGAATGACAGCAAAGGGAAAGATAGAAAATGAGGTCATTTTGTTGTGCTTGTTCAGCCACTAATTGGGCATGAAACTCAATTAGTGTTAATGTTTCAATTAGCACGGGCATGGAAGTGTGTTAAAGCAGATGAGGAAGGGAATCCTAGAAAAGAAAACCCAGCTCGATTTGTGATGACCTGGGCAAAGACGCATGGGTACCCTGTTTAGCAGTCTCCCCGTTACATTTTCAAGCAGCCACGGTCTCTGAATGGTCTTCAAAGGCATCCCTAGATAAGATGCATTGCAAGCGTCTGATCCATAGTTTTTCAGGTCATAAAGGCCACTTCGTGAGCTCAATTGTAATGACGCATGGTTTCCTCAATCGGTAATGCCTTGTTAAACAGGGGTAAAGTATTGCACAGGAGTGCCTCTTTGTATCTGGAGTTCAAAATACGAAAACTCTGCACAAGGCAGGCGACGTCTTGGTGGCAGTCCTCGGACTCCGTATTCATGCAGATACTCTGCAGATAAGGCTCAGATAGTACCCAATTATTGGGAGGAGGATTCCCTTTTTCAATGGGGATGGTGGGCCGATGGTTTGTTACGAAGACTGGTGTGAAAATAAACCAGCGGGAAAGTGAGACCTTTGGAATGGGAGGTGCAGGGCTGTCTAAAAGTGACAAGTTTCGGTAAACTCTTCTGCTTGCTTCGTTTTAGGTGGAATCCTTGGGAGAGTTAATTCGGATGGGGAAGCTGCCACCGGAGTATCAGCGAGAGGTAGGACGAGTCTTTTCTCTCTGCTGGAGCAAATGCAGCACCTTCTCTGATGGGAACTTAAGGGTTTGTGGGAAATACTTAATGGAGGAGGAAGAGGGGAACTGGGAAGCAACTGTTTAAGAAAAAGCTCTGCCTGGAGAAGGATTTATCACGGTTTGGGGATTTGTTTTCCTCACGCATTTGGCAAGCTTTCCTGACCCTGGGTGGCATTTTAAGGGGATTAGAAGGGATGACACGGGAAGGAGACAGGAGCTCACTCTGTGAGTGTGGTTGTCCCAGCATAAATCTGTGTCCACCCCAATTATTAAGTGGGCCATGCAACAGAATGTTGCAGTATGGAGCACTTCTGTTCAGTGTTTGGTCCACTGCACTCCATCTTTCCACCCAGCTTGTTTTCCATGTCTCCTTGCAACAGTGAATCATCATTCTATGGCATCTGAGCATGTTCTGTGTTTATTGGGGTGTCTGCCACACCGCCTTGAAATTGCTTTTCTCCTAAATATTTGTAATGCTTCTGCAAAGGTTGGGGTTCCCTTAAGCCTATCGACAGCTCACTGTTCTCACATCCTAAGTAACTGTTCTCACATCCTAAATACTAAATGTGGAAGGAATTGTGTTTGTTCTTCACCTGTGAGAAGGTCTGTTCCAGGTATAACTCCAGGAACCAATCCTGACTGGAAAATCCCAAAACAATTTGGGACATGCCTGCAGGAAGACCAGCCTAAGCATCAAAAAAGCCCAAACCCCACGTATTGCGAAATCCCATGTTTAAATGCTCCCCGACCTCGTGTGTAGGGAAGGCCAGCATGTCAAGGGAAAACAAATCTAAATTCATACTGAAAGCATCACTCAGGAATAGCATGCTGTTGTAGCTTAAACAGTGTAAGCAAAACAACCACATGAAGCTTTGCTATAGGAGAATAACTGGGAAAATTCACCACCGGGTGATTTTCTGAGCCTTATTCGTAGTAACAGAAATGCAGTCTTATTGCAACGTTTCTAGAGTGGGGTTTCTTCATTTCAGAGACTGTAGAACAGTTGCGTTGAAGACATCATGGGTCATTTGGACTTGTCTGCCTCTTCTAATATTGCTCTCCTCCACAGGGGCTTGTAAGGCTGAAGGTAGCCCAAGATGCTCTGGAGAAAGCGTACCTGAAAGCCCGAGATGAGCACCGGCAGCTGCAGAACCACCAGGGGCCTGTGCGGGTGCTAGAAGACTTTGATCCCGATCGGTATGTCTATATCCCTCAAGAGCCTTGGGGCTAATAATGCAGCCTACCAGCTTAATAAACAACGTTAATCGTGTCTGCAGGACCCTCCCAGACAAAATGGCCCTAAGTCAAGAGCAAGCAGAGGGCAGAGACAAGCAGGCAAACATTATGAGTGCCACTGGTCTTTCCGTTGATCCTTTCTCAGCATCCCAGTGGGCCCCGTAGGCTCCTTGAAAAGCCTACCGTCTTTTAACACAACAAGGTGGAATCCTTTTCAACTTCCTCTCTGAGGACAGCACTGGAAGGCCTCCACAGGATCAGGCCCCAGGCCCATTTTGATTTGCATTCAGGATGGGGAAATGCCAAGGCATTTGGGGACGGGGGGACGGGCCTAAACCTAGGTGGGTGACAGGCTCTAGGGAGGGAGATGTTGCATGCCAATCAAGTCATCTCTGATTCACGGTGACCTTATGACCGGAAGCCCTCCAAAATGTTCTCTCCATGATAGGTCTGCTCAGCTCTTCCAAATGCAAGTCTGTGACTTCCTTCACGGAGCCAATCCATCTCGTATCTGGTCTTGCTATCCGAGTGGGGTGGTGTGACGTGGTGTCCTGCAACAGCAGGGGGGTGGGCCCGATGGCCTTCAGGACCCCTTCCACCTCTACTCTTCTAGGATTCTTCTCCCTTCGCTTTCCTTAGCGTGATGGTCTTCTCCGGGGGGCGCCGCCTTCTCACGAGGTGTCCGAAGTAGGGCAGCCTCGGTGTAGTCCTTTTTGCTTTTCGGAAAAGCTCTGGCTTGATTTGATCTTGGACCAAATTGCTGGCCTTTCAGTCCGGCCGGGGAATTCCCAAAACAATCTGCTCAACGGGCAATTTCTTCCTCGCTTTCCCCCACGTCACTTCCCCCTGGCAGTTCCTTTTTTTACTTTTCCCGAACGACACTTTCCTTCTATCTATTTTGTCCCCTTTTTCCCAGGATGTTGGTTAGGTGATGCTAATCCTGTTTGATTACTCCGTGAGGCACCGCTGCCTCGGCCTCCTCGTCTGCTTGTTTCGCTGACGGTCTGACCCTTTTCCAGGGCTCTGGAAGGAGAGCTGTTCCAGCTGGAGATGCACTTGGAGGAGCTGAGGGAGAGGGTGCAGCAGGGGGCGTGGGACCGGCCAGCCGCGCAGGACGGCCCCAGGACGGCCCTCGCCGCATCGCCCTCCCGTGCATCAGTGCTCGAACCCAAGGCACACATGGAAACACCCACGCCGTCGCTTCAGGCCCCCGTCCCGGCCGGCCGCGTGCCCTACCCTGAGGTGGGTTTGGCTCGAGGGAAGGCACAAGTGAAATGGCCAGTTATAAGGGGCACTTGAATGGTCGCAGCCGAGATTTGGAAGCCATGGAGTCCAAGGTCCAAGCCAATACAGCACTCATGACAGGCAGCAGCTAAGGATGGGATTAAATGGCTCCGGTGAAGGGAAGCCCTACCCTTCCCAAAGCTGTCTCTGTCTCTCTCTCTGTGTTTGTGTCTGTCTGTGTCTCTGCCTCTATCTATCTATCTATCTATCTATCTATCTATCTATCTATCTATCTATCTGTATGGCTTATATACACCATCCATCCATTTAAGCAACAAAGAAAATAGGGCACAGCATCCAATAATTCAATATCATAAAACCACATTAAAACCAATTAAACATTAAAATAATGTTTAATAAAATGGTTTTCGCCAGACACTGGAAAAAAACCAAGCGTCAGCCCCAGACGAACCTCTCTGGGGAGCGTGTTCCACAGTCAGGGTGCCACCACAGAGAAGGCCATCTTCCAGGTAGGAACCCTCCTTATCTCCTTCAAGGAGGGCTCCCTTTGCCTCAGATCTCAAGGGGCGGGAGGGCACATAGGGAAGGAGGTGCTCCTTCAGGTGTCGAGGGTTATGCATGTTTCTAGATGAGGTGGGAAGCCCGTGTACATAGAGAGCTCCCCCGGTGCAAACATGTGCTCTTCAGTGTTTGTGGTGGATGAAGCCAGCAGGCCAAGATGATGACCTTGTGGAAGAGAGCATCTGAAAGAGGCTGCCTGCCTGCCCAGCCATGGTGGCAGTCAGCAACTAGGGTGGACCACAGCCAGTCATGGCCACTCCATCGCCCACCTCTTTCCTTCCAGCATATTGAATATCTCTAACTGCTTCTAGGAAGTATCTTCTTGGGGTTTTATTTCTGCACTGATATTCCAAACAGACTTTCAGCATGTCATGAGCAGAGCAGGCTGGAGCCAGGGGTCAGACTAGATGGCTCGGGAAGCCCCTTCTGACTCCCCCTGTTTCTTTGTTTTGTTGGATAGTTGTGATGGGTCTGTGCACTTCATATTTTATTGCAGAAACAATTCACTAAAATGTCTATAAAGGCCCGGATTTTAGCTTCTTTGTTTCCCCTTGGAGAAGAATGTGTGTATTAGGTTCACTTTTGGTGTGGGCCTTACTCCAAGCTTTCCTATCTGCTCTTCAGCCCCCCGTTCACCACAACAACCAAGGCCGAGCACGGGTGGAAGTGGAGGAGAACGCAGTCCACGATGAGCCTGAGGAAGAGGAGGAAGGTCTCCCAGAACCGCTGCAGCTCAGAAGGCTGCAAGTGGAAGAAGGCCGAGCACGGGTGGAAGTGGCGGAGAGCGCAGTCCACGATGAAACCGAGGAAGAGGAGGAAGGTCTCCCAGAACCGCTGCAGCTCAGAAGGCTGCAAGTGGAGGAAGACTTTGACCACCTCCTGGATCAGTGAGTGGCTTTGGACATTTGTAGTGGACTGAACAATAGCTTCTGGACTGGGGTGTGTTGTACGGGGGCTCACAGAAGGCACGGGGTCCTCCCCCCGCCCCGCACTCACACACCTGCATGCACATGCTTGCCCCACCCACTCCGAGCCTGCAAAATTAATCGGGAGATAGCATTAATATGACACCCCTCTGCCGGGGCCTGAGGCATCTTTCTCCACCAGAGTGCCCTGGAGATGGTGGCTACACACGGCAGACAAGGTCGTTCATTACCTTGCTAACAGCTGAAATCCGTCTCTCTTGCTGTGAAGACTGTGTTGTCAACAGTCACTGGGCTGATGATGGAAGAGGAGCACGGTGCCTCTTAGAGGCATTTGGGATCCTGGCCTTTTGCACCAGGAGGATTGTCTGGCGGAGACAGCCAGGCAGGCAGGGAGCTTCCGCATAGCCTGAAGTCCCTGATCCCACCTAATCTGGGAAGCTGAGCGGGGTCGGGCCTGGTTGAAATCTGGATGGGGGACTTCATGTTGTGACCCACCCAGAATCCTTTGGTTACGGGCAGTACAGATGAATCAGAATAGATTGGATGCTGCATGTGTTGTTGTTCAGTTATGCAGTGCTACAATCCCTGCCCAGGTTTGCCACTGGCTCCACCCACCGTCAGATCTGGTCCACCCAGTTGACTTTCCCCGGGGGTCAGATCCTCCTCAGAGGGGAGGCCAAGCTCTCCACTGATCAGCTTAACCCCTTCTTATTTTATTTATTTATTTATTAAAAACATTTCTATGCCGCCCCATTCACCAAAGCCTCGGGGCGGCTCAAAACATAAAGTTCAAATACAAAAAATAACAATATAAAATTGTTCTTCTCTTGCCCCCAGCTACAGCAGCTTCCGGTCTTGGCCAGAGGCGATGAGCTTGGAACCACTGCATCTCAATGGGTGTAACTTCTCAGAGGAACTGATCGGGGCGGCTGCTCAGGATGCTGGGGCAAAGGATGGATCCCCCCAGATGCTTTCTGAGGATGACAAGACAGCTCATATGTCCTCCACTTTAAGTCACCTAGGAGAAGCAACTGTGTAAGTAGCCATGGCTTTGGGGTATCCAAGCCGATGACTCGACCGGTAACGGTGCGCCGCCACTTGGTGTGAACCAATATAACATACTGGCTAGTGTTGGACTTTGCCTGGGAAGACCTGGGTTCAAATGCCCCCATGGCCATGAAATTCACTGGGAGGATGGAAGGATCTGTCTAGTCCCTTATCCTAACATAATTCATGGGGAGACATGGGAAGCATTGAAAGAAGAGAGAGGGATCATGGGGTCTGCATTTCCTTAGATGCATTTCTCATGGTCAGGAGCATCACGGGAGTATGTACCATATGCAAATAAGAATTCCTTCCACAAAGGTACATCTCTACCCCAGTTTTTTCTTTTAATTGGATTTCATTGGGCAGCTTTCCGTTTTTCAAAAATAAGAGCGAAAGCAGGAGAGCTCAGAAGGAAACATGCATAAATATGTATTCCCAAAGATGGAGGAAGAGATGCAGGATGCATTAACCTTTCTATCAGCTTAGGTTGTTTGAAGAGGAGGGGAAGGGGAAAGAATAATGGACTTAGTGTAACTTGAACAGCTAAAAAGTTGGATCCAAACTCTGCCTTCTGTGACGAGAGGTTTTCTGCCAGTGGAGGGTCCCTGTGCCCAGTTTTGGGGGGACCCTCTCATTCCCCACAGCACAGCTTATCCCATTCAGCCCGGTCTCCTTGCTCTCTGCCTTTTCAGGAAGCTGGAGATGCTGCCATGGGAAAGAAGTAAGCCCTTGTCTGCCAGTGTAGTTGTTCTAGTGTAAATCTGGATCTAACTCAAACAAGGTACACACAATTGCATCGAGGAGGGCCATGCTAGCTTAACGGGAAGAGTTGTTAAGTACTCATAGAAACACAGAAAAACAGAGCGAGTCAGAAGGGGCCTCCCAGGCCATCTAGTCTGACTTCCGGCACCAGCCGGCTCAGCTCACAACATGCCCGCCATGTGCATGGTGCAGTACACCACTATTCAAAAGAATGGCATTTTTACCAGAAAGATGATAACTTTTAGCTATTGCATTTATTTATTTATTTATTTGGAATTTTTGTATGCCGTCCCAGTCGCATAAGCCTCGGGACAGCTTCCAACATCATAAATACATACATATACAAATACATACATTTAAAATCTGGAAACATCCTGGCTCAATATTTTAAAACTAATTAATAAAATCAACAGTTATTAAAATATCAATTAAATAAAAAGGTCTTGGCCTGACGCTGAAAAGCAAATAACGACAGCGCCAGGCGGACCTCTCTGGGGAGCGCATTCCATAAGTGGGGCGCCACCACAGAGAAAGCCCTCCTCCGGGTACTTTGCCTCCTGATACCTTTCCCAGAGGGTTCCCGGAGGAGGGCCCCTGCCGCCAATCTCAAGGGGCAGGAGGGCAAATATGGACGCAGGCACTCCTCTAGATATCCAGGTCCCAAGCCGTTGCCCTACCTTACCTTCCATGCTACACAACAACCTTGTGAGTGTGAGTTTTGTTGCTACATGCAGTCAGGGTACCTCTGACTGACGGCAACCCTATGAATGAACATCCTCCAAGATGTCCTACCTGGACAGCATCACCCAGCTCTTGTCAACTCCAAGTTGCTGCTTCTTGTCGGTCATTGGTCCTTCCTGGCGTTGGTTTCCCCCCTCTTCTTCTGCCTTCACCTTGAGGGTTGGTTAGATTAAAGGCAGAAGAGAGGGTGGGATAGCTGGCCCAGTGCCGCCCAGTCAGGTTCGTGGGTGGAAGAGATTTGGTGGCATTTAGAGCACAGGGTCCCTTTCAGGGCACCACATGTTAAGGCCATGAAAAACTGGAGCACTGCAGAAGGGGGACACCCCACATGGTGAAGGGCCCATGAGAACTGGTTGGAAATGAGCAGTGTGTGTTTCTCCCGGAGAAGAGAAGATTAAAAGGACTGCATTACAGTGGGTTTCCAATATTGGAATGGCCATCCTGTGGAAGGGGGAAGGAACTTGTTCTCTATTGCTGCTAGTTGCAGAGTCACATCCGACCCTTTGCAGCCCCATGGACAACCTTTCTCCAGGCCTTCCTGCAGGCCTTCCTGTCCTCCACCATCCCCCGGAGTCCACCTAAGCTCACGCCGACTGCTTCAGTGACTCCATCCGGCCACCTCATCCTCTGCCATCCCCTTCTCCTTTTGCCATCTATTGCTCCCAACATCAGACTCTTCTCCAGGGAGTCCTTCCTTCTCATTAGGTGGCCAAAGTATTTGAGTTTCATCTTCGGTATCTGGCCTTCTAAAGAGCAGTCAGGGTTGATCTCCTCTCGGACTGACCAGTTTGATCGCCTTGCGGTCCAAGGGACTCGCAGGAGTCTCCTCCAGCACCACAATCCAAAGGCCTCAATTCTTCAGCGCTCAGCCTTCCTTGTGGTCCAGCTTTCACAGCCATACATTGCAACTGGGA